GATGCTGCCTGGGTGGTGGGAAGGAAAGGCCGGGTGGTGTAGAGTTCCGAAGGTTTGAGACCGGAGAACGGGGTTCCATGCCCTCTGTCTCTCTCTTTCTCTCCCTCGGTCTGTCCCTCCCTCCCTCGCTCTGCCTCCCTCTCTCTCTCGTTTTTGGAGTGAGGGATCCAACCCTAAACCCTAAACCCTAAACCCTAAACCCTAAACCCTAAACCCTAAACCCTGAACCCTAAACCCTAAACCCTAAACCCTAAACCCTACACCCTGAACCCTGAACCCTGAACCCTGAACCCTGAACCCTGAACCCTAAACCCCAAGCCTTCAACCCAGAACCCCCAAGCAAACAAGGGCTTGTGTGGAGACTCCAGCAGGCAACAAAATTGCGCGCCTTCGTGATCACGCCAAAGCTGAGCCCTTGGATTTGCCCCAAAGTGAGTTTCGGGTTCAGGGTTCGGGGTGCAGGGTTCAGGGTTTAGGGTTTAGGGTTCGGGTCGTGCTTTCGGGGTTGAAGTCGTGTGCAGCAGGAGGGTGCCCCTTCGGGGGAGGTTGTGGGACCCTATGCATTCGTTTACTCAACGCCTCGATTGGAGGTGCCATCATGGTAACTCTCAGGAGCCGAAGAGCTGATCAATTCCGTTGAGTAAATCCCGGCCGGAAGGAAGTTGTCAAAGGCGTGTTCTCTCTTGAGGGATTCCGCTGCCGTAGCTGAATGTTCAGACCACCCTGCCATGTTCATTGATTCCACTTTCCGCAATCTCCTTAAACCCTAGACCCTAAACCCTAAACTCAGTTATTGTACTTTGTTGCAAAGAGCGCCGGAGGCTCAGGGCCTTTTGGGGCTTCAACAGGAAGCCTCGAAGCCCAAAGCTCCAGGTGAACATGGGCGACGCTGACGCCCCGCCTTTCGACCCAGAGGAAATGGGGGTCGGGTGTTGGGTTTAGGGTTTCGGGTTCAGGGAGGGTTTGGAGGCTTGTCTACTTCAAGGTTGAGGTATTGCGGCCGCCGATGCCTTGACTTTGCCAGCAGCTAGGCTCTGAATCGCAAACCTTAAACCAAACCCTGATCCTGAAACCTTCAAATCCCTAAGCCCTAAAGCCCCGACATCCCCTAACCCTGAACCCGAAACCCCAAGCCCTAAACCCGTAAACCCCTAAACCCTACACCCCAAACCCTAAACTCCCAACATACTTGAGGAGCGAGTCCTGGACATCTCCTTTGCAAGCCTGGAGGCATGGGAAAGGGCCGCCACATCACGGCACACGCAGAGTGGTAGGAGTTCAGCCTTGCGCAGGGGTTTAGGGTCTAGGGTTTTGGGTGTAGAGCCCAGGCCCCAAACCCAAAGTACAAACGGACACGTAGGGAAAAACCAATTATTGACATTGCCACCATCCCCAAACCCAAGAAACCCTCAAAATCCTTACAGCCCGAAAGCCTAAACCCTAAACCTTAAAACTTTGAACCCTAAACCCTAAACCTTTTAACCCTAAACCTTTAACTCCCTAAGCCCCAAGCGTTCCTGCTCCAAGCCTGATGTCTGCAAGGAGCGGCTAAAAGTCGTGCAGCTGGCGAGTGGCCCAGTAAGGGCTCTATAGGGCTTAGGGTTTAGGGTTCAGGGTTTAGGGCTTTCAGACACGGGTCCAAACTTTGCTTCGGCTTCCACACCTAAGACTAGACCCTCACCCTCGACCCAAAGCCCAGAAACCTTCCAAACCCCATGTAAGCCTTAAACCCCTAAATCCTTAATCGGAACACCCCAAACCCTATACAAACCCTTATCGACCTTCGCCTTCCCCAAAAAGCCCTAAACCCTAAACTCTAAACCCGCATCCCGAAACCCGAAACCCTAAACCCTAAACCCTAAACCCTAAACCCTAAACCCTAAACCCTAGACCTGCAACCTGATGAGGTGCTTGAAGACCTGGCCTCCCGGCCAGAGGCCTCCTATCAAAACTCGGAGGTTTAGGGTTTAGGGGTCAGGGTTTAGGGTTTAGGGTTCAGGGTTTAGGGTTTAAGGACACCTTTCCTGGTTCCGCTACGCCCCAAATCCATAAGCCCGACTAACCCTAAACCCCAACACCGTCAAACCCTGAACCCTAAAGCCTAAGCCCGGAACCCCCCAAACCCTGAAACCTAAACCATCTCCTGAAACTTCTGAGCCCAACCCCGGAAGCTCCTAACCCCAAAGCTCCGAAACCCCTGCAAGCCTGACAGGCTGTTAGGGTCTAGAATTTAGGGTTTTAGGGTTTCGGATTTAGGGCTTAGGGTTTATTTAGGGCTTACGGTCTCGGGTTTCGGGTTTAGGGTTTAGACCCTCCTCACAACCCCCCCCCTTCCCCCCCCACAAGCCCCTGAAGGCGAAGAGTCAGAAACTTCGACTCCTCGTCCCCACGGAACTCTTCGGATCCGTGGGGGACGCACAGGGGACGGAGGGGGTTTTAGGGTTTTGGGTTTTTCTGGGTCTGCGTTCTGGGGTTTACAGCTTTAGGGCTTTAGGGTTTTAGGGCGCTAGGGTGTCAGGATGTTAGGGTTTTAGGGCTTTAGGTCTTTAGGGTTTTAAGGCTTTGGAGTTTATAGGGGTTTAGGGTTTTAGGGTTTTAGGGTGTGGCGCTCATAGAGCATGGGGTTTTAGGGTGAGCATTTATCTTAAGGGTTTGTGGGATGCTTGGGCCTCTTTATCGGGCATATAGCGTTTCAGCGTTTTTGCTTGGGTTTATATGCTTTTTTGGGGGGCTAAGGGCTTTCAGGTCTACATGCGGGGCTATCGTTTCGATTGTTTCGAAGCATTTGTGTTTGAGTTTCTGAGCAGGGGCGTACATACCTTGTAGGCTAACAACTTCAGGCTGAGACGCGAAGTCCGCTTCCCTCAATCTCGTTTCTAGAGACATTCTTGACCCAGCCTCGACGATGGCGATCTTCGGTTCCTATATGTGCACCTCATATGCAGAGGAGAAGGAAGGAAGCCACTGGTTGTAGCATCCCTGAGGGCCACAAGGTACCCTTGGGTGCAGCCTTCACAGGCTCATGAATTCGGGAGCCCCACTTCTCCACCCTGAGCTCTGAGGTTTCGAAGCCCTGCAGCCCCATTCCCCGAACTTGCCGCCTCAACCCTGAGAAGTGAGTCGGGGCGTAGCAAGATCGACTGTAACCCTAAACCCTAAACCCTAAACCCTAAACCCTAAACCCTAAACCCTAAACCCTAAACCCTAAACCCTAAAAGCCCTACCTCTGAGAGACCCTGGGAGGAACTGAGCCTCAGAAATCACCCAGGTCATGGGCCATCGCGGTGAGACCCTGCGCAACATCATCCAGACGAGCCGCGCTCAGGCCCGAACCCGGTTGTGGTACTCTTCTTCCTCGCCTCTTAGGGTTCGGCTTCTTTGCATTTAGGGTTTCGGGTTTCGGGTTTAGGGTTGTAGGGTTAGGGTTTAGTGTCACCATGGAAACCCTGAGCCCCTAAGCCCTAAAAGTCCTAAAGCCCTGAAGCTGTTGGGCCCTGGCGATGCGGTTTCCGAGGTTTTGGAAACTAAGAAGCTCCAGTTCACAAAGCCCCTGGAAATAGTATTTAGGGTTTAGGGTTTGGAGTTTCGGGTTTGGGTTTCGGGTTTGGGCTTTCGGGTTTGGCGTTTAGGCTTTGGGGTTTAGGGCTTAGAGTTTAGGGTTTGAGGTTTAGGCTTTAGGGAGAAAAGGAGAGCGAACTCACAACCCTCCCCCAAACCCCAAACCCGAATTGGGCCCTAAGCCCTCAACCCTAAACCTCAAACCTTACAGCTTACCCATAACGGCCTCTAACCCCTAAACCCTAAACCCTAAACCCTAAACCCGAAACCCTAAACCCGAAATGAACTCGCGCACGTCGCATCCCTGGCTCGAGCGTGGGCGAGGGACTTTATGAAGCGACGAGGCCTTCTGGGTGTGGGAGCTCGGGGGTTTCATTGATCTCTAACCCGAAACCCTAAACCCTAAACCCCAAACCCTAAACCCTAAACCCTAAACCCTAAACCCTAAACCCTACACCCTAAACCCTAAACCCTACACCCTAAACCTTAAACCCTAAACCCTCAAGCCCCATAAGCCCTTGAAGCCTGAGTTCTGAATCCCTTGAACCTGAAGCCCGTAAATCCTGCATTCCTGTAATCCTTAAACCCTACAACGCCTTGCACCTCCAAGCCCTTGAAGTCAAAGCCCTGAAGCCCTTCAACTTCAAACCCGGGGAAGTCCTCCCTAAACCCTAACCCGGAACCCTAAACTCAATGGATTTTGGGACGTACCCCTGTGTATGTACTGTTGCGATGCACAGGCGATATCATAGCGACATCAGAGTGACACCTGAGCGATAGGGTTAAAAACCCCAAACCCTAACCCCCCAAAACCCAAAACCCTAAAACCCCAACCCTAAACCCTAAACCCTAGCCCTAAACCCTAAACCCTAGCCCTAAACCCTAAACCCTAGCCCTAAACCCTAAACCCCTAAGCCCTGCCAGGCTTTTGAGGTGGTCTGGCCGTCCTTTTGGTTTCAGGTGCACGGGCACCGGACGCGACAGACCGCGGCTTGGCGGCTCAGACAGCTTGGGGCTTCAGGGATTTAGGGATTTAGGGTTTAGGGTTTAGGGTTTAGGTTAGGGCGTAATAGGGTGTAGGGTTTAGGGTTTGGGGGTTAGGGGTTTAGGGGCTTCGGGGATGTCCTTACCTGAAAACTCTAATGGTTAAAGGGGGATTCTGGTTTTCTGCCCCAAGAAGTTGCTACGTAGGAGCTTTTTTGTAAACCCTTACCCACATTTCTAATTCCTAAACTCGGGTTTATGGTTTCGGGTTGAGGGAATGGGGGGTTCAGACTTCGGGTGTGGTAGGCTTTAGGGATTTAGGGCTTCGGTGTTCGGGCTTTTGGGGGGGTCCTCTGGAGCAGAGAATTTTCCAGCTAAACCATACAAGTTGAACCCCTTAAGCCCTGAACCCCTGAACCCCTGAACCCTACACTTTCTATTAACCCCTCAAGGATCAGATGATGTGCGGTGGCCTTCAGCCTCCGCCAGGGTTTTCCAGCCCCTTGGCACTAAGGGGTTTAGGGGTTTCAGGGTTTAGGGGTGTGGGGGTTTAAGGGTTTAGGGGGTTCAAGGGGTTGAAGGGTTCAAGGGCTTCAGGGGTGGAGGGGTCTAGGGGTTCACGGGTTTGGGGGTGCAGGGTGTTCGGGTTCAGGGTTTGGGTGTGTCTGCTTGTGGCTGATTGTGCGAAGTGAGGTCAAGCCAATGACAGTGACCTCAAAGACCTCGGTAGCACCTTAGTCCCGATGCAGCAGACGCGCTCCTTCGACTGGGCGCTGTGCTGGGACCCATGTGGACTTGCCACCGAATGTGCCATCGAAGGGCTCCTAGATCAACTGCAGGAGGCGCAGCTCTCGCCGTTCGCGCTGTTCTGTGACCCGGCTTGCCGAGGTAATTGGGCATCCCACGTCACAAGCTCAGCGCCGTAGACACCTTCCCGATGTGTACGGTCGTTTCCACATGATCAAAACGGGGGGCTTAACACATGGGCCCCAAACGCATTGTTCCATCTCTATAGCGAGAATCGCACACTCTTGGCACCTGTTGCTATTGTGTCGTTCGTCTCTTGTGGTTGTTTGCCACTAGGTGACTGTTGTGACTCTCTGGATGCTTATTCTATGCATTTGGCCATTCTTCATATTAGAATTATGGTTCTCCTTGCAGCATGAGTTCTCTTGCCACTCACACTTATGTTGCTCATGCCGCTGTTCCCGCTCTGCCACCGCCGCCGTGCTTGTTGCGGTTTTTGAGGGTTGCTGCTGCTCTTCTTTTGTTCATACCTAACCCCTGAACCCTAAACCCTAAACCCTAAACCCTACACCCTAAACCCTACAACCCTAAACCCCAAAGCCCTAAAAGCCCCTGCTTCGCCATGAAAGGCATCAAGATGTCCTCTTGGGAAGAGGGCTCGGAGCTGAAGGCCTTGAAGGTCGTCTTCGGCATGGCGAAGCAGCTCCATGAGACGATCCCACCTTTGCCCTTCAAGCTCCTGGCTCATTACGGGGCACTCTCGTATTTCTGCTGGCTTATTACGGGTGCTCTAAAAGATACTACTATGGGCCCTCTTATGTTCTGGCGTGAGGGCCCTGTCGTACTTCCTATATAAGAAACCCCCTCCCTTGTTGTGGGTAACCTAAAATATTCAAGTTCTGTTGTCCAGAGCCCAAGGCTGGGTGTCCGCAAGCCCTCCGACCTCGGGGCCATCGGGAGCCAAGGGCCCAACGTGCCCCTGAAGATCCCCTTGCCTGTGGGGATCGATCGCTCGAGCCCCGCGGACTACGAGGACTTCAGGGACCTTGTGGACCTCGTGGACGGCAAGTGCAAGGACTACGTGGGTCGTGTGTGCCAAGCAGAGCCCATGGACCACCTTCGTATGGACTTCACGGAGTACATCGACTATGGGGATTTCGTCAGGTCCATCTCCTTCGACATCCCCGATGCCCCTCTCAGCGGCTGTGGGAGCTACGGTGCTGGGAGTTGCAGTGGAGCACCTCACCAGCACCGCTTCCACGCCCGTGGAAAGGCCGAGATCTTTGCGGAAGACAGGCGGTCCTTCCTCAAGAAGCAGAAGGGCCGACTGTCCCTGGTGTCGGAAGATCGCGTGCACAAGCAAGGCGCGGGCCATGTTTCAGCCCAGACTTTTACGACCTCCGATCGGAAAACTCGAGAACCCTAAGCCCAAGACTCTGGAGGATTGCCCCCCCCCCCCCTCCCCCTCAGAAAAAAAGTGAAAAACAAAACCTTAAGCTGAGTTACCAAATGAAGGGAGCCATGCCTTGTCCGGCTCATGGTAACTTATCTGAAGTTTCTTCACAGCAAGCATCATTCAAGCCGCAAGCCTCAACCCTAAGCCCCTGAAGCCTATGCCCCAGACCTTCAACCACAAAACTCTCATTCCCGAAGCTTCCCGAAGCCCTAGACCCCAAACCCTGGACCCCACACTCTCAATCCCCCAGTCCTGGATCCTAGACCCTAAACCATAAACCCTAACCCTGAACCCTAAACCCTAAACCCTAAACCAAACCCTAAATCCTAAACCCTAAACCCGCAACCCTAATCCCTAAACCCTAATCCCTAAACCCTAAACCCTAAACCCTAAACCAAACCCTAAACCCGAAACCCTAAACCCTAAACCCTAAACCCTAAACCCCAAACCCTAAACCCCAAACCCTAAACCCTAAACCCTAAACCCCTGAAAGGCGTGGAGAGGTACCAAGTTTCGTTTCTCTCCGGGGAGCTGAGCCGAGCAGATGGTGTCCCAGGGCTGGCAGGAACCCTGTAAGCCCAACACCAGTTCATAGTTTACGGCCAAGAGAGCAGAGGAGCCCAGGCCTAAACCCTAAACCCTAAACCCTAAACCCTAAACCCTAAACCCTAAACCCTAAACCCTAAACCCTAAACCCTAAACCCTAAACCCTAAACCCTAAACCTTAAACCCTAAACCTAAACCCTAAACCCTAAACCCTATAAACCCTAATGCCCTAACCGCCCAGGGCCGGGTGGTGGGGTGTGCAGGCTCCTATAAACCCTGAACTCTAGACTTTGTTTTTTTAAATACATGTTTGGTAGGGACTTTAGAGGGCTGGAGGGCCACATGCCTGGTGGAGTACCTACACCCAACCTAAACCCTAAGCCCTAAAACCTAAAGCCTTAAGCCCCTTTATCGTGAAGTTCTTCGAAAAGCTGGAAGAGACTCGAAACCTTCCCCGGACCTGCACCTGTCATAATTTCAAGAAGCCCTAAACCCTGTTCAGGCTTCAGGGTACTCACAGTCCTTAATTAGGGTGACTGTTAGTATAAACGGCGAACATCACAAGCTTCAGGGTTTTTTTGGGGGGGGGGGGGGGGTTGACCCAGGGTCCATCCGTCCCGAGGTTGGCATCATCTTCTCGCAGAGCTTGCCCAAGACTTCCGACATCCAGCAGATCGTCTCTCTGCCCCTCGGTTGCCCTAACCTCTAAACCCTAATCCCTAAACCGAAAACCGAAAACCGAAAACCCTAAACCCTAAACCCTAAACCCTAAAACAGCCGGACTTCAGATTCCCACCGCCTCAAACGCCCCGAGTTGCCAACCACAAAAGAAGTGATGGCCCTGGCTGCAGGTTCCTCAACCGCACGGGACGCCTGTGCAGCCGAGTGAACCAGCGCGTGCCCAGCCTTTGGGGCTCGGGGCTTCAGGTTCAAAGGGTTAGGGTTTAGGGGTAGAGGGTTTTGGGTGTAGGGTTTAGGGTTTATAGTGTTTAGGGTCTAGGGGTTAGGGTTGAGGGTTGGACGGTAAAAAGATGTAATTCAATGACGCCCAAGCAACAAGTCCTTCCTTCTGGGGCCGTTGCGTGGAGAGGTTCGGTTTTTGCAAGATTCTGCTTGATGTCCCCAAGCTCACCTCCCAAAAGCTTTACGACCATGCTCGGCCAATGGGTTAACCCGCCCGAAGCCCTATGGTTTGTCAAGGGAGCTCAGGATCGTGGTTCACTTGCTGTGCAATTGAGTCCACAGTCTCTTTCGGGTTACTTGAGGAATACGGAGGTTGACCCTTGCAGCTGGTCAGTCCGAGGTAACACGCATTGCCTCAACGTTGCCCCAGATCGAGTTGGGAGACGTCATAGAGGCAGTTGGGGGGACGAACGTAGGGTTTAGCTCATACTCCTATGCTGGTTCCCAAGTCCAACAAGGCTTGACAGCCCTATTGCCCCATTACGGCCCCCAACATTTTGGGTTCAATTTTTGCTCCAACGAGTCAAATCGCAAGCCCTGGTCCCTAAGATTTTGGGCTCAATTTGTGCTCCAAAGAGTCAAATCGCAAGCCCTGAAGCCCCCCTAAACCCTAAGCCCTAAACCCGAAGCCCTATACCGCGTGTAGGGTTTAGGGTTGCAGACAGGTCGAGAACGACATCGACATGCGATGCGCGAGGTTTACGATTTGGTCTGCCCGTGGCGCAGATCCCTCCACGGCCACGGTCAGCTACGGACAGGCGCTCGCTGTCGGTTGGGTGGTTTAGGGTTTAGGGTTTAGGGTCTAGGGTTTAGGGTTTAGGGTTTAGGGTTTAGGGATAATTTTCAGGGTTCAGGGTTCAGGGCTTAGGGTTGAGGCAACAGCTTCTCGGATGCGGTAGTAGGCGGCGTGCATCCCAAAACCAACAAGCCTCAGACTTCCGAAGGGCCCGTGGACCCTGAGCCCTAGAGGCCCGCAGCTGCCCACCTTTGATCACAACCCTAAACCCTAAACCCTAAACCCTAAACCCTAAACCCTAAACCCTAAACCCTAAACCCTAAACCCTAAACCCTAAACCCTAAACCCTAAACCCTAAACCCTAAACCCTAAACCCTAAACCCTAAACCCTAGCCCTAGACCCTAGCCCTAAGACCCTAAGCCCTAAGCCCTAAGCCCTAAGCCCTAAGCCCTAAGCCCTAAGCCCTAAGCCCTAAGCCCTAAACCCTTAACCCAACCCAAAACCCAAAACCCTAAACCCTAAACTCAGGGCCTAGGCCGCCCCTCTGTAGGCGGCGCTTAAGCCCTTTGACCTCCATGGCGCAACGCCCGCCTCCCACAGCTTGGGGGTCGGTAGCACCCACGTGCTGCCCTTCTGCCTGTGTTTTATTGGTGAACCTGAACCAGGCTGGCGACCACGTGACGGAATGCAGAAGTTTTATGGAAAGTAAGCAGTTGGCTTGAGTTTAGTCCTAAACCCTAAATGGAATAGGTTTGGGTGGCTTTGCCGCCTCGGACGGCGTGGGGTGGGAGAAAAGTGAGAGATGGCCTTCCACAATCGGGCCAAAGCTGCTCTTCGCACCTCACGAAGCTTTCGAGCTTGTTCCCAAACCTAACCTTCACAGCATCTACGCCCTATCACCGCAAACCCTAACCCTAAACCCAAAACTCAGGGCCTAGGCAGACCCAGGTCGCCTCCTGCAGCCCGGAGGTTGGTAGCACCCACGCTGGGCCCGGTACCGGAACACGTTCTCCTCGGGACCAGTACTGGTCCCTTGCAATGAACCCCCCCCCCTTGTGCCACAAGGTGGCCAGCATTTTCGGGGGGGTACTCCCAGGCCCCCTGGCCCCCCTTTCTTCCTGGCCCTCCCCCCCCCGCCCTGACTATACCCTCCTGCCCTCCCCGCCCCCTCCTAGCCTCCTCACCCTGCGAACCTAAAACCTCTCCCAGCTGTGAGGACCTAGCCTCGAACCTTTCCCTTGGCTGAAAGTGGCCATCGGTGACGGAAAGGATTTTTTTTGAAAGTAGCGATTGTCATGAGTTTAGGCCTATACCCTAACAGGAATAGGCTTGGGTGGCTTTGCCGCCTCGGACGGCGTGGGGTGGGAGACAAGTGCTAGATGGCCCTCCACAATCGGGCCAGAACTGCTCTTCACGCCTGACGAGGCATTCGAGCCGCTGCTGCATCCTAACCTTCACAGCATCTACGCCCTATTACAGCAAAACCCAAAACCCAAAACCCAAAACCCTAAACCCTAAACCCTAAACCCTAAAACCCTAAACTCTCCCAAAGCCCCGAAATCAGGTGGCTGATCAACTCACCTCCGTTCAAGGACAACCCATTCCTGGCCACCTGGCCGTGGTGGCACCTTGGCTGGGGGGTTTTGGGGGCTTTTGGTTTAGGGTTTAGGGTTTTGGGTTTAGGGTTTGGGGTTTATTACAGGTGTCGGAAAACGTGCAAATAGTATTTCCCTACTGTATGGTCCCTGATAAGAGTATACAAAAAGAACCCTCAGGCCCCTAAATTACTCCCCTCCAAACCGCGAAAAACCGTTGCCTCTCGCGGCTCGAGGTGAAGCACCCGGGCGTTTCGGTTTCTTTCCTGAGCTGAGGCGGATGTAGGAGCTGGGGCTTAGGTGCATCGGTCATCCTGGCCTGCCTTCAATACTGGAAGGCGGGGCCAGAACCTTTCACCAGTTTCACCCATTCCTGATATCAAGCAGCATCACATGAAGCAGGGCGTATATTACTGTTTTTGGTGAGTGTATGTGAGGTTCCTTTTCAATATTGGTGAGTGTATATACTGGGTGTCCTGTTGGGGGTACAAGAAATATATACCCTACTTCACATGAAGTTCTCCTACCCCGCTGGTGTGGCGGCAGAACGTGCGTACATGTAGCCTACCACCTAGAACGCGCCGCCACATCCGCAAGATTGGTGCAGAGTTCCCCGACACGAGGAGTGTTTGGCAAGGCCCACCTTTACTGATGAACACATGGTGGGCTTTTGCCTCATCTTCAGTTCTTGCTTTTATGCCTCTTGGAGCCCAATTGCGTACATGAGCTTTGCGCCCGCCGCACCTTCAGCTCCAAAGGCCAACCACCCCCCTGAACCCCTAAACCCGATAAGCCCGACATGTCAAGCAAGCTCATTGGCTTCCCGATGCAGAGCATCTGCGGCTATGGCTGACTGAGGATGGGCAGGGACTTGTGGTTTCGGGTTTTCGTTTGGGGAATTTCGATTCGCGGGTTAGGTGTTGCTCTTTATGGAACGGGGACCCGGCCTCATGCCTTGCCCATACGACTGAGTTTCAAGCCCTCCTGGAAAGATCGCCGCCCTAAGCGAGCTGTCCCTGAATTCTGAACCTAAACCGTAGACACCAACACTCCTGGATTGAGGGCGTGCGGTGCCATTCCGGGCGTCACACCTCATGTCGGCCTAGCTTTTCCAAGGCATGTGCCAAAGTTGTTTGGGCTTCACAAGCGCTTAGGGTTTAGGGTTTAGGGTTCAGGGCTTAGGGTCCTACATCCCAGACCGGGGTCACAGCCTATGCATGAGTGTGGCACATGTCCTCGGGGCAACTCCAGCGGCTGTGCTTCCGTCCCGTGATTCCCAGCTGACATGCTTACGTCTGTGAAAGCCGCAGCTGACAGGGTTTAGGGTTTAGGGTTTCGGGTTTAGGGTTTAGGGTTTACAACACCCTTCGCCACGCCCGAACCCTAACACCTGCACCCGCCGCCAGACCTCCAACCCTCCACTCCAGAATTCGGAACACATATGAGGCCTGTGCTATACAACCCTTGTCTTTCTAGTGAGTACGAAACAAGATTGCAAAGCAATATCTTCCCCAGTGGCGCGACAGCATAAACCCAGAGCGGCAACCTCGTTCGTATATGTGGCCGGCGCCAGTGATTTCGTGGGTCCCGGAAAATTTCATGCTGCATTTCTGCAGCCCAGATGCCCAGGTGCGAAATCCAAAGCGACAGACATTCGAAGGTGGGGCCGGTGCCAATGATTTTTGCAGGTCCTCTGCAGCCAGAGCGACAAACCTCAGTCGTTTGTGGGGCCGGCGCCAATGGTTTTGTGTCCCGGAAAAACCTTGCTGCTAAACCCTAAACCCTAAACCCTAAACCCTAAAGCCTAAAGCCTAACGCCTAAAGCCTAAACCCTAAAGCCTAAACCCTAAAGCCTAAACCCTAAACCCTAAACCCTGCATCTTTGCCGGCAAGAGGCCCGGGTGCCGAAACGCCGGTTCGGATGTTTGAAGCAAGACCTTGAAAAAATGCAGGCGGGATTTGGAATGTCTTCCAGCCTCAGTGAGAGATCCACTTCTGTTTGTGGCATTTTGCTCCAATGTCTTTGCGGCATGACCCTTCGAGAGCTTTCATGGTGGAAAACAACCAGTGCAAAACGCACCTACAACAAACAGAGATCAGAATACACATGCAAACCAGAATCAACTTCACTTGGCACCATATAGAAGTAATGAAGGTGTCAAACTGAACTACACAAAATGCCGAAGAAGATACTAGGAATTCCAAGTGCGACACGTGCGCGTACATTTTCGGAACCACCATTCCCATCGTCAGAAAGTTTCGTGAGATGTCCTCAAAGACGCGCGAAAGCTGTGCCAAACAGCACCGTGTGTTTGCAAGCCATAGGCCCATTTGCTGAAGGTTCTGGCGACGCAATTCGAATTAGCCACTACAAACCCCTTCGCGTCTCGTCACGTGATGCATGCCCTGGCGTTCTCAAATCTAGTTGCCCCACCCACTTGCCAGGTGGGGGGATAGCAATAGCAAGGACGGTAGCTGCGTTCGCATGTCAGATGGGCCCATGACCCAATATCGGATTGCGGAAGACCTGCACACGTTGGCGGTCTCACTGCAAAGACGCGTCCGGAAACTTCCAAACCCTCAACCCTTAAGCCTAATCCCCGAGAGGGGAATCCTCAATTGGGTGTGTATCAGGGCTGAGACGGAGTTTGGAGGAGTTGAGTTCCACTTGAAGCTCCACTGTCGAACCCTGTAAGTCGTTACCCCTAAGCCTTAGCCTAAACCCTAGTCCCGCAACCCCGTAAACTCTGATCCCTAAACGCTAAACCCTAAACCCTAAACCCTAAACCCTAAACCCTAAACCCTAAACCCTAAACCCTAAACCCTAAACCCTAAACCCTAAACCCTAAACCCTAAACCCTGGGAAGCGGTTCGCGCCCTGGGAGGGAGCAGTGAGCCTGGCATTGTATCGGGCGGAATCCATCGAAGCCGACAACCAGCTGTAAGGGTTTTGGGGTTTAGGGTTTAGGTTTAGGGTTTAGGGCCTTAAGGTGGTTCAAGAGTTTAGGGGTTTAGGGTTTGGGGTTTAGGGTTTAGGGTTTGAGGTTCAGGGTTTTAGGGTTTAGGGCCCAGGGTGTAGAGGGCTTAGCCGGACTGAAGGCTCCATGGGCTTTGGGCTCATAATTCCATGTCGAAAAGCCTGCAGTTCAGAGCCTGCCGATTTCCCTTAAACCCTAAACCCGAACCCGAAACTCAAAACACTAAATAAAGCCTAAAGCCTAAAGCCTAAAGCCTAAAGCCTAAAGCCTAAAGCCTAAAGCCTAAAGCCTAAAGCCTAAAGCCTAAAGCCTAAAGCCTAAAGCCTAAAGCCTAAAGCCTAAAGCCTAAAGCCTCAAGCCTAAAGCCTAAAGCCTCAAGCCTCAAGCCTAAAGCCTAAAGCCTAAAGCCTAAAGCCTAAAGCCTAAAGCCTAAAGCCTAAAGCCTAAAGCCTAAAGCCTAAAGCCTAAACCCTAAACCCTAAACTCTAAACCTGAACCCTAAACCCTAAACTCTAAACCGTAAACCCTAAACCCCAAACCCTAAACCCTAGGCCTCGGCTTCAGAGAGTGAAGGCTTTCGAAGGCCCAGGATGGGAGAAGAGGTTTGGGAGGCTACCAAAGAGATTCAGGGTTCAGAGTTCAGGGTTTAGGGTTTGGGGTTTCGGGTTTAGGGCTTAGGGTTTGGGGTTTAGGGTTTGGGGTTTAGGGCTTAGGGTGTAGAAGTCCATCAGCTTGAATGAAAGTACAGCGCCTGCGGCTTCGCTTTCATCTCTGTGGCCCCGAGCCAGAAATCGCTGCACCAAGCCATCGTGGCATTTCAATGCCCAGCCTCTCCAGCCGGAGGCTGCTAGCTAGCTGCCCGTGTATTGGTCCCACTAAACCCTGAACACTAACCCCTAAACCCTGAACCCTAAACCCTAAACCCTAAACCCGAAACCCTAAACCCTAAACCCTGTGCCCTGTGGGACCTGTTGCAAAAGAGTTTCAAAAGATTCCTGAGATCCATTTTTGATATATGCGTAATGCGTCAGATCTCTTTCTTCGGACAGCCAAGGACCGGCAAAACTCAGCGTGCATCTGAATCTAAAAAGGTGCATGCTATGTTCCCCCTTATACTAGCAGCCCTTACTAGGGATTATAGCAGGGAGTAATACAATCCCTATGAAGCGCTGTTAGTATAAGGGGGAACATCCCAAGGAGCGTAGGCTTAGGGGTTGGGGTTTAGGGCTTAAGTTTTAGGATTCAGTGCAGAGGGGTGTCCGTATGGCTCTGCTTCCCGCAGACATGAGGGAATCCGATTCACCCGCCCCTTAACTCGAAACTCTCAAGCCCCAAGCCCTTTAGCGTTAAAAACCTATACCTCGGAGTGACTCTCATTGTTGATTCTTTTCTGGTCAGAGTGCATTGTGATTGAAGATGTTCGCCCAAATCTCATACCCACCGGCATGTGGCGAAAGATTTCAATTGAACAGGCCACGGGTTCTCTCTACAGCGGCCATGAAGACGGACACCCTTGCTAAAGCTGCAAGGATCTGAAGCAGAACCCACGGACCTCAACCCCTAAACCCTAAACCCGAAACCCGAAACCCGAAACCCCAAACCCTAAACCCTAAGCTCAATCTTGCGATGCCAGGTCCAGCAGCACAAAGCAGAACAGCTGGAGGAGGGTTTTCGGGAGGGCTTGAGGTTTTAGGGTTCACCCTAAACCCTAAACCCCAAAACCCTCAACCCTAAACCTAAACCCTACATCCGAAACCCCTTAAGTTGTGCCGGGCCAAGGTGTGTCGCGCCAAGGGCAAGGGGCTGAAGTTAGAGCTGAGAGTTGCAGGCCCGAGGCAGGTGAAGCTGGGTCGGGAACCCCTGGACTAGAACCTTATTCCCTTTTTTTGGGTTTAGGGTTTAGGGTTTAGGGTTTAGGATTTGGGTTTAGGGTTTAGGGTTTAGGGTTTGGGGTTTAGGGTTTAGGGTTTAGGGTTCCCTTATCAGCCGCTGTAAACCAAAAAAGGCATGCTTTTTATTCCTAGCTTCCTCTTGGGTCTAGTAGCTGTTGGTTCAGGATGTTTACGGTCTTAGGCTGAGTTTTAGGGTTTTCGTGTTTCGGGTTTGTTGAGGGTGTAGGGTTTGAGTGTCTTCTTTGCCAGACACAGGCCAATCTTCGAAGACATCTGTCTGTACCTTTACTACAGAAACCCTAAACCGTGAAGGCCAAACCCTAAAACCCTAAACCCTAAACCCTAAACCCTAAACCCTAAACCCTAAACCCTAAACCCTAAACCCCAGTGAAAGCCACGTAGCAG